TCACCTATTTCTCTAATCACATTGTCAGACAAATGCAAGAAAACAGTACTCCATGCAGTTTCATCTTGTTCAGTTACTTTGCTAGATTCAAGATCAGTAGGCCATGACTCATCAATAGTCTTAACACATTTTTGTTGAAGTAAAAGAGCTTTCATTTTCTGGCGTCAGAGACTAAAGTCTCATTTGCCATTAAAAACTTCCATTTCAAATTTAGAGTTAGTCATTTAAAAAAAATTGAATGAAAATTAATGTATGTAGATCAGTCAGACATTTGACAATAACTTGCAATTCAAAACTAATCAGGTATCACCACTCAAGAGACACTCGGAGTAAACAGAGATTACAAGTTAACATAGAACATGAACTTCAGTTATTTCACAGTGTACACAATTTGTTCACAGCAATACAATCACAGTGTTATTTTAACACAAATCATATACAGGGATCAATCAAGAATATATAATACTACAGTAAATATTTCAGAAAGACGGAAATTATCAAGATCCTTGACCGAATTCAAGGTAACCCTCAGATTCCAAACAACTCTCATGGTTTCTAGACAAAAAAATTACAAGAAGCCAAGAATCAGGTTTTAAAATACTAAGCAGAGAATCTTTAAACGAGTATTAAAACTTGATCTATACAGTAAACCGTCAAACAAGAAAGATCTCACCAGATCCCCTTATTAAGGTTTCAAGTAAAAAGAAGAGCGGCTCAAAAAGGCGTCACAATGTCAAGATCTACTATACTCAGAGTCAAGAACCTCAGTACAAAGCTCTGATACCACTGTTAGGAGGAGATTCATAGAGTATTAGCTCAAGAACAAAAAAAATATAAACTGTAAATCGAACAAAAAATATACAAAAGAGTAAAGAGATTTTATTAATCAAAGCCCTCAAGACAAAAACAATCGATCAGTGCCTCTGCCACTGAAGAACAACCACCATTCGAACGAAATCACAACCAAAGTGAAGATTACAAGGTTTGAACACTCAGACTAAACCCGTATATCACAAATAACTCTCTCTTCACTCAAACAACAGTTCACACAAGAACAAATCACTCAACTCAAATAAAATCACTCAAAATTACAACATTTTAGAGAGAAGACGAAATCAAATGAAAGTTTTGATTTCTACAGAGAGAAGGAGAGAAAACTTGAACGGCGCAGCAAAATAGAAAGAGAGAAAATATAAAAAGCTCATGCACTGTTGAAACCCTAGGAAGCCATTTATAAGACTCACCCAAAGGTCCTTCATCCAACGGTCGTGGAGATTACACTTGGAGACATCTTTGGCGTCCATTTGAATAGGTAAGTAAAACACGGCTTTCTCTATTTTTCAGAAACACGTTTTTGCACCATTTAAAACACAAAGATCAGTCAACTGTTCAATCAATCCACTTAAGGGTTGTTTGGCATCATTGTGCCACATTCCCTTCAAACTGAATTATTGCATCTAGGAGGAAATAATACAAGATTTCCTCATACAATCATGCTACAAAAACATGCACAAAAACAGGAGAGTCAAATGTCGACGTATGATTGGACAATTTGAAAAAAAAAATTCAAACATGTGCTACCAAGTCAGTCTATTTGTTTTAGTTTTTGAGCGTGTTCAATCATCATGATTGTTCCTCATATATCACCTACTGCACCCAAACAATCACTAAATCCACTCTAGAATGCCATCACAAGAAAGCAGTTTTCCCCTGTAACTACAGAGCCGACGTGACCCTGTACATGTAGCTTTTTTGTACTTGAATTAATAACAGCCTTAATATTAAAACCAATGGACGAGATCAAGTCTCAGGTGGCACATTCTGGGACACTTCCCTCCATCCAATTCTGTTGTGGCAAGTGGACAAGACCAACACAAGCAAACGGGCAAATTACTGAACATTTTCACATGCAAACATGCACCGAGTTCCTAGCTTTTGCATGTTATAATTCACCATCTTTTCCCATCATTTGGACCTCATTTACAATCTAACAACAACAAAGAATTCATAACTTTTATCCATGTTTTAATTTCACATTTTTAAGGGAAAAATACTATTCATTGCCATTGATATTAGTGACCAATTTAATTGATAGCTAAATTATATTAAATAATATATTAATGTAAATGTAAGGTCATATAATTCATATAATTGAACGTATAAAGTGTAGCCACATAAATTATGAAAACAACGTCCTAGCAAAACGTCTAACATAAATGGGAAAGAGCCACACAATAGGTTCACAATAAATTGTTGACGATTATAATTGTCCAAAAATAATCTTCATTAACTTTGAACTCTACTTTGTCTTGAATTGCTAATATCAACCAACTTTTATCCTCTATTTAGATTTTTTCCATTAAATTGAAATACTATGCCTTTGTTAGGTTTAGATAAAATCAGTTTTTTAACAGATTTTGATAAAAGTTGATGGAATGTGTGATTGAAAAATTATGAATCTTATGAAATGTGAAATTAAAGTTAATTGTCGACTTTAACTCAAATTTGATTTGCTTTTTTAATTAAAACTAATAGGGACTATATGCACAATAATAAAATGGTGGGACATGAATGACACGGGAAAGAAGTTCAAGCTATTATTCTAGTTAGAGTCGAGCATGCATTGCACATCATTATAAAATATTTTATAAGTATTGTAAAAGTAATATTTGATACCAATTTTTGGAAGGATTTGGTGAGTCTCAAACAAATTAAAGAAAATAAAAATTAAGATAGAAATTTCAGAGAAGAAAATTGTACTATTAAAATTCAACTTTTATGATTCAAATTTTTTGTAATGATAAAATAGTACAAATGAACAACATTTTTATACTATCTTTGGTACATAAGAATTAATTATTAATATATGAATTTGAACACCTATTAAAATTTCCAGATACATGAATATAAATAAATTCATCTATAATAACTCTAAATTTATTTCGATTAAGATTCATCAAAATGCGAATGTTAATTAATAGAGAATTAATAGCACGAAATCCATACACGACAAGGATTTTATAGTATTTATTACGTATTGAACAAAAAAATTAAAATATTATTAAAATAATTAAATTGTAACAGGGTTAAAATCGTCCAAATACGTTATTGATGTAGGCATGAATCTGCTCAAGGCCATTCTTCGACCAGGTCCATTACGATGCCCCACAGCCAAATCGCATGGCCTACGGACTCTGCGTGAGTCGTTTGCCGTTTATATTGCCATTTTTGGGTAGACTTTGCACAACATTCATGGCGGCTATCATCTTCAGTAACTAATCTGAATCCCTTCAATTTCTGGATTTCGTCATTGACCTCCTCAAATCACACACACAACGCACTAATCTCGCTGATTGTTTCGGTGATACAATCGAAGTAGGAGATGTTATTTACAAGGGGACTGTCCCGTATATCGAGGACATGTTACTGCCGGCGTCAATGGGCTTTTTCTTCTTTACGTAATAACGAGCAGCAATTGATCCAGCACCACAACCAGTTTCTCTCCCCCTCGCACTCTTCTGAAGAGGTGAATCAACTCGTTCATTGATTTGTATTTATTCGCACATTTTAGGGTTGTGGTTGATAAGAGTTGCTCGTTGAAGTTAATTTGTAAATTGTAATAACTGGGTTACGGACTGAAGAGTCTTTGTTGAGATGGTTTAAGAAAGTCCATATGTTAGTAGAATTAAAAGGTAATATTGACATTAAATTTGTATAACTAAACAGTTATAATAATCTAATTTGGAGATTTATATCGGAGGATCATTTACAAGTTATTCAAGTTTGCTCTTTCTTCATCCACACGTTTTTTAGGGCCCTATACTGGGTTTGTCTTTTTCTAGAATCTAGACTACTAATATTCGGAGCTCCCTGATTTAATAAATCAGGGTTATATAAATTGCAAAGCTTGCCGATTGCTTGTGGTGGTCTGCATTAGGTTATTCATCAGGGCTATACGTTGACAATAGGGTACCAAGTATCAAGAAATAGTGAAATGTTCCAGGCCATAAAAGATGTAACTTGTCTTGTCATTTGTTGGAAGGGATGAAAATGAATTTTGTTTGTCAATTCATCAGCAGTGTTGAAGTGTTTAATAAGATTGGTTACTACTTGTGATGGTGGTCAAACACTTTGAAGATTGCATGTCACGAATATTCACGTGCATCTCCAGTTGTCCAATCTATGTACTGCTTTTGTCTTTCGTCTTGAATCCTGAGAACCATGATTCTACTCTAATGTGGTCATCTTACTGGCATAGCATTTTTAGGAATAGTAACCATAAGTCCATTTTCCTGATATACTTGAATTGGTGGGATTTTGCACGTAATTTATAAATTTTCTGATTTTTTATATCGTATTTCTTGTTGCTGCCTGTGATTAGTAGGTTTGGCATTTCAGAGGAATTCATTCTTTGGTTTCCAGTGCACTAAGTGGCGCGGGACAACAAGCTCCCGATCAAAGTAGTTCTGTAATTGAGGTTAGTGCAATGTTGTATCATGGTGCTTGCCTTTGATAATCAAATCCTTTTGCTTACAGTCCTTTATGAAACATCGGTTTTGTATAGCAATGAACCTATGTTTCTAAACATCTAGTTTACTCATTTTTCAGATTTTATTCCAGATAGTTTAACTGTGCTTTATTGGTTGCAAAAACCATGGAACAGACACATTGTTACTTTACTATTCAATTTTCTATCTCAGGAGCAATTAGATCCATTTTCTCTAGTTGCCGATGAAATGTCAATTCTTGCGAATAATTTAAGGTCCATGGTAGTTGCAAAGGTATTCGATCTGCACATCCTTCTTTTTTTGGCTGACGACTGAATTGTAGTGATAGGATAATAGCTCCTCTTCAATCTTGTAGGTCCCAAAGCTTGCCACTGCTGCAGAGTACTTCTTCAAGATGGGAGTAGAAGGAAAGAGATTCCGACCCATGGTGAGATCTTCATTTTCAATTACGTGTCAGCATGTTCGATCTTCATAGGAAAAGAGAATTCATAAAGTTCAAATTTCTCATTTAAGATTTTCATTTCCTAACATCTAGGCTATAAAAAAGAGTACATTGCCTTATTGATTTTGGCTAATCTTCTATGCATGACTGGGATTGTATATTTTTAACTTCAAAACATTGACTATTCAGTTGTTAGCAATTTCATCGACTTGGTCACAAACACTTAACTGATATTTGCCATGTCAAGTTCCAAAACAGATCGGTTTACTCACTCATAGATAACCATCTTCTTAACCTTACGAGTCAGTTACTAGTAGAACCAGCCTTGCATGCACAAAATTAATGAAACATTTTAACTTAACTGTCACATACTGGTTTATTCTTCTTGAAAATGCGTTAGATAAACCTTTTATTTCATTTGTGCAGTCTGCACTGGTGGTTGTTCCCCTTCCACGTATTAACTCCCTGATATACATATCTTGCAGGTTTTATTGTTGATGGCAACAGCTTTAAATGTGCCAATATCTATAAAACCTGCTGCTGCTACTGTTGATACTTTGCCCACAGAATTACGCTCAAGACACCAATGTCTGGCTGAGATCACAGAGATGATTCATGTTAGTTCTCTTTTTCCTTTTCCTCCTGAAAGCTACATTGTCCTGTGACTCAATTACATTTCTGCAACAAAAGTTGGAAAATTTTAGATTATGCATGTGGTCAGCCTTGCTGACTAAATGAACACGCCAAGTAACTAAGACAATTAATTTTGATGGATGGTGAATACACTCTTTTGTCAACCCAAGGCCAGGTTTTGTGGCGGAAGGCAGGACTTGAGTCTAAGGGTGATTTGCCTAAAATCATATGATGGTGAATAATGGATTGCATTGTCAAGGTGGATCTGTGATTATTCAGGTGTATGTCATGCTACCAATAATTAAGCCTATCATTCATGATAACATGGTGTCTAATCTTTTTCTAGGATTTAATCATCACTGCTATTAGCTTGATATCTGTCTTTAATCGTAAACTTTTTGTGGTGCTTTTTCTTTTCTTCTCTTTCTACTTTATTTCCTTTTTCATTTAGAGTTTTGAACAAGGATAACACTATAAAATATTCGACAAAGACCTAATTTGTTTCTGATATTATTTTCTATGACTTCCAACTAAACTGAACTTGTTTCGAAAAAAGTTCTGTTATATCCTTAGATATGACTGCAAGTCTGAAGATACTATAGTGCTTGATGTGTGAACAAGTGTGCTTTATTTGATGTATTATATCAGGAGAGAGAAGCGTGTTTAATAAACCTTGACTTTTCTGTAGTTAGATAATAATATCATTAGTATATAGAGCTTCCTGTCCATGTTATTCAGTTTGTATATTTTAATTCTGGTCTCGAATCCATTACTTTCTGATAGGTTGCCAGCCTCTGTCATGATGATGTGTTGGATGATGCTGATACTAGGCGTGGGATTGGTTCATTGAACTTCGTGATGGGGAATAAGGTATTTCATCCCTTTGTTTTACCAAATAATGTTCATCCCCTTGTTCAACCCACCCCCAATACACCCCCATCCAGGAAAAGTGAAAAACTTGAATATGATCTTTGATATCACTGCACTACTTGTTAATTTTTGCCTTTGTGCATTATTCTTATATTCCAACGTTCTGTTTATCTTTCTATTGCGCCGAGTATATGTTTCGTCTCCCTCCCTTATTTGCTTATGACAGTATTTGATCAGGGAGATTATAGAATTTTTTTAGAGACATGAATAAGTGAACCTAGCAACAAGATAAGAAAGTATTTAATGGGTCTTCTTGCTAACAAACAGTGGAGATGAAAATAAGTTTTATGTTAATGGACATTCTAACTATCATTTGGCTGCCCCTAGTATTATATAGTTAGTATAAGGCGTGATAGTTTGTTCTTGTTACAGCAATTAGGCTTTATGGGGTTGGCTACATGAATCCTTTTTTTGCCACTCATCCCGTGCAATCAAATCTAATTACTCAGGACCATGCTTACTGCAACTAATAGCTGCCATAGGAGAGTCAGTAGGTGGGAGAGTATTTCTTTTACATAATGTTCCTCAAGCTGAGCTGTGTCTTTTCCTCCTTAACATTGCAGATAGCTGTATTGGCCGGAGACTTCCTGCTTTCTAGAGCTTGTTTGGCACTTGCCTCTTTGAGGAATACCGAGGTATTTGTCGTCGCTTTACATTTCTTTTGGCCCCTTATGTGTTTGTTGACCAGTTATTACCTATATATATCCTCTGCTTCATGATCTGATAGCTCAATGCAATGCTACATGTATCCTATTCCCAATGTTTCTGCTGTATCTTTGTAGGTTGTAACCCTCATGGCAACAGCTGTTCAGCATCTTGTTAACGGCGAGACCATGCAAATGACCACTTCAGTTGATCAACGTTATAAGTATGCTGCTATGGTATCTTTGACATAAAGTTTACCAGTCATCATTTCATATTCTTTATGGTTTCATGTGAAAATTTATTATCATAAGATACAACCTCAAATTCTCAATGGAGTTCAGCTGAGGGCATTGTCCTTTTCTCTTTCTGTGCCTTTGGTTTTAAATGTTTGAAATGTCCGTACATTTTGTGCTCTTTTATAGTGGTAATGATTCAGAAGTGCCTTTGTTCAAATCATTTTCTGAAGTTAGTTTAGAGATTTTCAAAGTTTATTCAAAAAAGGATAGTAAGATTTTCCAGTTGATTTCATGCTTATATTGCATACTGCAATCAGTTACCTGTTATGGAATATTTGTTGTTTGAAGATGTTTTTTCATTCGTTTGAATCTTCTTCTTGCAAAATTCTTGCTGCTGTTTTTTTTTGCAGCATGGAGTACTATATGCAAAAGACATACTACAAAACCGCATCACTGATTTCAAATAGCTGCAAGGCAATTGCTCTTCTTGCTGGGCAATCAGCGGAAGTTTCAATTTTGGCTTATGAGTATGGCAAAAATTTGGTCTGTATACTTATCTAATGCATATTTCGTGCATTTTTAAATATAAGTTTGATATGTCAATTTTTTTGGACCTGCTGTCGTCCTTAAAATGGACATAAATGCTGACTGTTGCAACCTGGTGTTTGATGTTTAGTTGGACCAAAATTTTGACTATAGCCAACAATGCCCTTGCCGCGTTTTTACTTGTAATCTGATTAAACGACCATAGTGTCACCCAGTAACACCATGCTTGTAATATGGAATTGTGTTTTACCGTAAAATGCATCTATTAGACTCAGATGCTACTCTGTGTGCATGTTTGCAGGGGCTAGCATATCAATTAATAGACGACATTCTTGACTTCACTGGCACATCAACTTCGCTCGGGAAGGGATCCTTGTCCGACATTCATCACGTACCCTTCCTGTCATTTCTAAATTTTTAGATTAGAATCTTAAATTCTCAAATGTATAGTTGATGCTGTATATCCAGTAAGTACTATTAAAGTATTGTCATTTTCATGCAGTAACACCCTCACCTGATTTAGCGATAATTTGCTGATAATGTTATTAATTTTTTCAGGGCATTATTACTGCTCCAATATTGTTCGCTATGGAGGAGTTTCCTGAGCTCCGGGCTGTTGTTGATCGTGGATTCGACAATCCTGCGAATGTGGATCTTGTGAGTTTTCTGAATACTTGAACCTTATGCTGAAACTACTGGGAGTTGGTCATGTCGATTTCTCTTCTCCTCCCCTCCTTTAACTGTAGGCACAAGGCAAATGGCATCTTCATTTTAAGTGATTTAAAACTGATATACAGGCACTGGAATACGACCCTTTCTCAGCACCTTATGTCTGAACAAGGGAGCTAGCAATAAAGCATGCTAACCTTGCCTCATCTGCAATTGATTCACTTCCCGAGAATGACGATGATAGAGTTCAAGAATCAAGACGGGCACTTGTAGAATTAACGCAAATAGTTATTACTAGAACAAAGTAAGACTTACGGTGACTGCTCGGGTGTCCTGGGACACATTGTAACAGGTGTAGGAAAAAAAATTATTTTGTTCCTCTACCATTTTCATGAGAAGGAGACACGACCTGTGCTCGTTTTGAAGAAACGTTGTTTCCTTTTTTTCCTTTTTTCTTGAGTAAGTAGGTTAAATTAAATTCTTTGTTTACTAATTGATAATTGTTGTTTGATAAAATTAAACCCTATATGTCATAGGTCACATTGGTTGAATTTGTTTCCAAGTTATTTTTTCCTGCAATATTTATTATAGGTTTCAATATTTAAACCCTATATGTCATAAGTAGGTTAAATTAAATTCTTTGTTTACTAATTGATAATTGTTGTTTGATAAAATTAAACCCTATATGTCATAGGTCACATTGGTTGAATTTGTTTCCAAGTTATTTTTTCCTGCAATATTTATTATAGGTTTCAATATGCGTGAATTGTTAACAACATTGCGATAATTATATGTATAAAATGCCACATGCAAATAGTTTCTATATGTACGTGTATTTTTTATTTTTACACCAGGTGACATAAAATGGATAAGCCCTCTATTTGGTGTAGATTAAAATTAGTTTTTAAGTAGATTTCAATGGTTGATGAAACGTGTACTTGAAAAGTTGTATATCTCATAAAATGTAATTAAAATTAATTGTTAATTTTAATCTATACCAAACAGGGCATAATATGACATTTGTATGATAGTATAATGTAAATCTTTCACGTTGACACGAGAAGGTTGAAGCTATGAAGTCTCTTACAAGATATGAGGGTTTGATTCCTACCTCTTACAAGGTATGAAATTGGACTCTTTGTGAGTATCAGTATGACAACTCTTGTACTCTGGCCTGTTGAGGCACTTCTCGTGATTTATCTCCTCCACAATGCTCTAGGGGCGGGGTGGGTTCAACCTTTTTATTTTTTATTAAGTCCCTTGTCACCTCGTTGTATAATCACTTTCTCAAGCCTTTTTGAGTTGCCAAAGCTACGGGGAGCTATTATAGTGACAACTGCAATTAAACAAAAAACTTAGAATGTGAAGAGTATGGCTAAGTTTTTGGTTGGGATTTCTAATTATGTTTATCTTTCCTAATAGAGTTCCATTTCCAGTGTATTTATATATTTTTCAAGCCTATAGACTTATTGGTCTTTTAGCATTACCTGGACGTGTTGTTATTGTTGAGTCTATATCAAATTGCAATTCTAAATAGTTCTGTGACACGGCTATCCATTGGTTTGATTGTTACTTTCACAAAATTCTTTAAAGAGAGATGCTATATGTATGGGGGAAATGTCAGAGCAATTGCCAGATTGAGTGACAGAATTTCATTGGACTTTGCAAAAAACAAATTTAAAACAGCCAATCAAATTCGCCACATTAAGACATGGCAATTTCTCCTATACAAATAGCTTCATACTTCTGTAAATCAACTCTCTCACATGCTCTTCTAATTGCTTATGCCAAATGGAGTGCTCTTCATGCTGCCAGTTGGTTTATAAGATATTGATCCATCCTCCTTTGAGAAGACATGATACAACTTGCTTCTTGTGGCATTGGTTGTTCCGAGTTCATTTGAGATCTAATTCGATCACAGTGTTTAGGTTCGACTCTAAGACTTCGTTTGGTTGGCTTCAACAGACTTGGTTCTTTCCTTCAAACACAAAAGTTGGCTGGCTTCGCATAGATAGAACTTAGAGAATGATATTAGAGCTTCGTTCATACAAAATGACTATGGCGAAGCTCATTCTGCATCTATTCTATAGTAACATCGTTTTGATCATTCATATGTGCCGCTTGCATTCTCACATGATCATTTTATGCCACATAGATTCACAAAGCAATACTATGATTTGCAATATTTACATGTGCATTATATTAGCAAATGCCCTCAATAAACTTTAAAGTATGAAGACGAAATAAAGTGCCCCTAAGAATGCAAAGCGGCCACATTCAGCAAGAACGAGAGCGGCCTTTAGCAGTTAGGCTTCATTTACTCGAACCAACGTGCCCCTTCATACAAGTATAGACGCCAAGGAGGTCATAAATCACTGAGAGCATCTCCAGTGGTGCTCTAAATTAGATCTACATTGTGATTTAGATCTTCCAAATTGTCGAAAACTACTCCAATTGAGAGATGCAAAGAAAATGCACAGTGTATTTTTTCGTCGGAAAATGTAAATTTACTTTTTTTTATATCTTCCTGTGGGACCCACAGGAGACAAAAAGCTACCAAACCCTTGCATCCAATTTTTTTAGATCCTCCCGTTGGAGCAGAATTTGAATTTATATCTACTGAAATGTACATGGGGATGTAAAAGTAGTTTAGAGTAATACATTTATGTTTTAAATTGTTTAAAAGTCGTTACTTTTTTGCTGCTAGGTAAACCATGATTTGAAACCAAACCAAATCGAACTGCAAAAAAAGGTTTGTTAGGTTTGCAAATACGTCAAAAACCGTCCACTGGTGCCTTGTTATTCCATATCCAAAACAACAAAAATAAATGTCTTAAAGCATTGAATCATTGAATGAACTATTTACATGTTCTAAAATGACACACTAGAGTAACAATCCTGCATTTACAGGCTACATCAGTAATTCTTCGACGACGATAGACACTGAGACATGAATGCAACCCAAGCATCCTACAATTATATAACAAAATCATATAAGCCAATTGAAGTATAATTTCTACTATTATCTTCTAAATTCCTGCAGATTAAACTAACCTGAAGTACTGAAAATGCCTTTTCTGCTATATATTTCCGGGGGAACGAGGTGCCCCTTTGTTGCAGCTTGTCTGCGTGCAAGCACAACTGCGCTTTCTGATAAGCCTTCTTCACTTGTAAGCCTTCGACTAGATTCATCAGAGGGATTGCTAACCAGCCACTATTAGGCCATAGAATCTGAATAAGGTAACGAAGAAACAATTACACTCTCTGCATTTCAGCTGATCTTATAAGAAATGATAATCCTAGTTCAAGATGATCTCACATGATGCAGTGTAGAAAGCAGCAACCGAATGTCAGTTTCCTTTCCAGTTGCCCACAGCCTTATTTTTTCGTCCAGCATTTGCAATTCCAACTGTTTGTCATAGAATTATGGGAAAAAAGAGACATCAGAAAACAGGAATTGATTCAAAATTCGATAGTAAAGTTGTCAAGAACTGACCTTGCTTGCTAGTTGCTCTGTTTCTACTGCAGGCCATTTATCCTTTCGTTCAGTGAATTCTTGCCCGTGGAGGTCGTCCTACAAATGAACAAAAGGAGAAAATATGGTTCAAGGTAAAAATCGAACCTGTCTTGCTGTGACATTTAGGAAAGAAAGATCAGAACATTGTCATATATTCTCAATTCTGCAACATAGTTTATTCGTGAAAAAGAATTCACGTAGTTGACCCTAACTTATTAACGAAAAGGATAGCTCCTTGTTATACACTCACAAAAAGGTTTACCTCTACCCATTTTGACTTCTCTTTCTTGTGTTCTTTGGTGCTCCATTCATTCTCTGTACGATGTGTTTGAATCTTCTCTTTTGCCCATGCAATTGCATCATCCACACCAATGGCTTCAAATTTTCCTTCACTATTATCAGTATTGATTTCTATAACATAAGAACTCATAATTTCATCTTCTTCTAGTTCTATGTCATTCAGTTGCAATTTTTCATCCTCAATTTCACAGGCAATATTCTGTTGATCTAATTGACAAATTGAAGAGACTACAGATGATGGTGACTTAAGTTCTAAATCATCTAAAGAAAATCTCATGCTGCCATCCCATGCTGGTTCAAGACTAATAGTCTCAGGAGATGAATTTCTTCGACTAAATTCAAAAGGGTTGTTTCTGATGTTGTCGACATAGTTGTTATCAGTATCGAACACGGGCTGATAGTCTGAAAATAGTGGCGTAATCTGTTGTTGTCGGTAATCTTCATGCTCCATTCCCGTCGTCGATGTCCATCTTGATCCAACATTTATCGGCCTGAAGATTTAGAAAAAAATTTAGCAAATATTTCACCCTTGTTTGACGAAGCTTTTTGAAATTACAAATTCACACTTGGCAAGCATCACATCCATCCATTTTAAAAATTATTTTTTAAATCAACAGCAACGATTTTGACAACTCCCTGATTGTCTAGTTATACAACTAGATTAATTCTTGAAACTATAAGTGGGTGCCATTAAATATTTGATTAAACAATTGATAAACGCTGTGTATTAAATGAAATTTTCTCTCAAGCCAGTGACTAACTTATACTTTACACACCTGAGTTTGGAACAAAAAAAGGAATCATCGTCCATGCCGTCGCTGGTGATCTCTGGCCGGAAAGGGCTGAGTTCCTCGGAGCTCAATGCAGACGAAGACCTTGTTTTTGACTTTGAACTTGACTTTACCACACTTACATCTTCCCAACAGAAAATATCACTATAGAAAGCATTATGATGATTTTGATTATGATCACTCCTCTGCTGCCTCACGGGAATCCTGAACTCCGGCAAGCCCCGGCCACTCATTCCTAACACGTGCTCCACGTTCTGCCGTAGAATCTCCCCGTAGGAGGAACTCGTGGATGATGAACTTAAAAACCCGGCGCTGTCGGAGAATTGGCGGGAGAGAATTGTGCGAGGGGGCCCACCAAAAACATCGGAGAAGTCTTCAGGTTCTAAAGGGGGTTCGGATGATTCACCGGAGATTTGTCTTCTCCGGTGGGACGTGTCCTCTGTAGATTTCCTGAGATGGAGGTTTGGTTTGACCGTTGTTCTTGGAGGCATCCCCATTCTCATTCTCCAAGACTCGTCCATCTCTTTGCTTATAGGAGAAGTTTCCGGTAAGTTGTCTCGCCGGAGAAAGTGGATATCCTAGCAGTGATGAATGATGAGTATAATGACAAGCTCTACCGCATGTTTGAATATATAGAAGCACCACGCCATCAGACCGTGCCTTATAATTGACTAATAGTTATTAGACTCGACCCGAACATCTATTCAGACAAGGATCTCGAATTACTAATTGAATCGGTGGATCATTGCATGAAAATATATATATAAAAAGGCAAAATGATATTTTTTTAAATTATTTTTCACTAATTATTTAGATCTATAAAATAAAGTAAAATATTTAACCAAAGTTTTTATAAAATACTTTTAGAAAATATATCTATGATTCATTGGATACATATAACTTATTGCACATAAAAAATATTGATGTATTCTATAACTCTAATGGTGAGAAACTAATTGCTTTACTTAGAGGTATAACCCTCAAAATTTTAAAAGGCAATTTTTGAAAATAGGCAAACCGTTCGAATTAACTCAATCAAAACCGTCAGTTAACTTGGTCAAAGCCAATTTTTGACCGAATCATGTATATTCGCCGATTTTTGACCGAATCATGTATATTCCTATTAAATTAATCTAATCGGCCCTAGCAAGGGTCTGGATCACTGGTTTTTCGGGCCATTCTGACTGTTTGGTTCGGGTTTTATAACTATATTTGACTTGCCATATCTGGGTAAATTTCATCTTGACTCATTGAACTTTAATTTAACTCAATTGAATCTCTAAACTATCACATAGTTTCAAAATAAGTCATTGGAGTTCAATTGATTTCAATTTTCGCCACTATCACATATCATCTCCAAGATTAATGAAAATTACTTAATTAACAATCATATAACAATAGATCTTCTAAGTAATCGATGCTGACATGATAACTTACCACTATTCCTAACCACGAAAGTATTAAAATAAAAGTATGCATATTTTAACATTATAACATAAAGTCAGCATTGACATGGCCATCACTTTACCATATTCGTTTCAAGCATTCCACGAAGTATTACGTGAAAGATCAGTTACAATATGACTACCAACTAATTAATGTGATAAAATGGTGAAATTTAAAACTAAATTGAAATTCGCTTATTTAATTAAGATAAGTTGAATTTTAGTGACTCAACACTGATATTCAGTGATCATAGATGAAATTTATATCATCTTTCTATATATAAAAAGTGCCTATTTAACGGAATTTGTTGGTTTAACGGAAAAACTAACGGAATTTGTTGTTTTAACGGATTATGTAACGGAATTTCTTGTTTTAAACAGGCAGCTACACCTTCTTTCATTATTTTTAGCATAACTTTGTATTCCAATATTCGATTGAGGCGATTCAAAATGCGTTGGAAAGCTAACCCATCTGGCTATAACTTTGATTCAGACATCATTCTCCAATTCGATCACTTTCTATGCCAAAAATATGTCTCAATATAACGGACTATGTAACAGAATTTTTTGTTTTAAACAGACAGATGTACCTTCTTTCAATTTGTTTATCATAACTTTGTATTTTGATGTCCGATTGAGGCGATTCAAAATACGTTGGAAAGATAACTCATCTGACTACAACTTTGATTCAGACATTATTCTTCAATTCGATCACTTTCTATGCCAAAAATAGGTCTCAATATAACGGACTATGTAACGAAATTTCTTGTTTTAAACAGACAGCTGCACCTTCTTTCAGTGTTTTTATTATAACTTTGTATTCCGATATCCTATTGAGGCGATGCAAAATGCATTGGAAAACTAACTCATCTGGCTATAACTTTAATTCAAACATCATTCTCCAATTCGATCACTTCCTATGCCAAAAATAGGTCTCAATATGAGACTAAAACACCGGAGCATAACTTTTCGGTTGGAAATTGATTTGTGATCATCTTTTGACTAAATTTGATCCCCTTGACATCTTCCTTTATCCAATTGACTCCGAGCACTCTCAAATCTTCATCGTGAGATTCGGCACAACTTTTAAGTATTTACATTTTAGCCCCCGAACTTTGGATCCCTTACAATTTAGCACTTTCTCCAAATTTGTCTACTTTTGCTTATTTTCTTCAATCTCACCAACCTACATCACAATATCAAAATCACACATCTAATTATATATCAATTACATAAGCATTACATCATTAATTATTTATAGGGTGTCTGTTTCTGCTTTTCAGTCGAAATCAAGCCGTTGGCAACACAATTCATACCGTTGGGAGCCGCAATTTTGGACCAATTCTCTCACTGTAGGGCTGTAGGTTTGAAAAAAAATGGGTAACATAATCAATTTTCCTTCCTCCTTGCAGGGCGCGAAGACACGCCCTTAATTAACCAAAAAAAATTACATCTTTATTAAAAACAAATTAATTTTTAAACAAAACTATTAAATATAAATTAGGCAAACGTGCATTGCACGTTACTTGTACCTAGTATTTATAATATGCTTGTAACCCAACCTAAGTCGAACAAGAGTCAAATCTTATTCAATTATGCATATCAAATAAAGTTTTTATGGGCATAGCTTTCAATGAGAATATCGTAAGACTTTTCAATTCCCTTTAAGAATTGTCTCTCACATTTTTAGTTTTTCAATAATGTGATTAGGACGTAACCTTTGATTTCAACTTGGTACCAATAGAAGCATTTTCCACCAAATTAATTGGTAATAAATGATTAGAAACAAAATATCTTCACCATTTAAACACAAAAGGGAAATTCATAAACCAATTAGAAAAGAAATAAAAAGAATCTACGTAAATATGCGTAACTTTCAATTAGGATGTCAGATTTACGTGAGCGAATACAATCTAAAAGCATTTTTTGTTTTTTGCACATTTTTGTTTGGTTTCGGTCAACATCGTCAAACTTTCGAGGTCAAATTTCATCGTTTAGGGGTCCGTTTTAACATTTTCTATTTTTTAGTCCGTTTTCATCATTTTTGCAATTTTTTAGTTTTATTCGAATTTGTCTATTGAATTAGAATTTCGATTTAATTAGGCTTCGTTTCGACTCTTTAAATATCTTTAAGATTTGAAAACCTCACATTCGTTTTTTGATAAATTATATTCCAGTTTTCCTGTGATTATTGGATTCCAATAATTCTCACGTTCATTCAAGCGAAATACAAGCAATACTCATCCACGTGTTATGAGTAAGTGTGTGTTTGATAGGGATTTTTTGGGGGAAGAATTGATTTTGAATAGTGATATGATGGGAAATGTGTGGTTGAAAAAGAAGATAAGATTATTGATGTGATAGAAAATATTATTTTATTGAAGAATGTGTGGTTGAAAATGAGAATTNAGAATATGTGGTTGAAAATGAGAATTGATTTACTGTTGAAAATGAGAATTTTTACCAAACATACCCTAAGACCCTTTTATTACTGTTCGTGTTTCTGTACTACATCATAAATGGTTGTTCTTGTGTGATGTGGGTTAATGGCATAAAGAAATTTGAGGATTTTTTTTTTTAATTTATTTGATTGGTGAGATTTTGATTCAATAAAATCTCGCCACGTCATATGTTGATAAATAAATTTGTAAGTTGTGAATTACACGAAACACAGCCTGGAAAAGTAAGGAGTTGTTGATATATCCCGAGTAGACAGTGCGTGCTGTCGTGCTTCATTCATATAGAGCTTTCTACTTTTTTTTTGGTGGGCACCTTTGCTTGAAAAACAAATTGTAAATAATCATTGAGTTTCAAAAGAGAAGAGGATAATCATCAATCAAACATGTGTAACTTTTCTCTATTTGTGCCGAAGGAATCTAAATGTTGGGAGTGATCAACTTTCAACGAAATTTTTACTTATTTTCAAGATTGTGGTCTGCTTTATTGATTATATAATTGTGATTTGTCGAGAGGAATAGAGACCAAAAACATCAATTTGAAGTCCCTTTTCTCTATAATGAATGAGGTCATGGATTCCACTCGAGTTCGATGCTATTTCCATGAATGATGTTGTCATAACAATTGAAGACAAACAAATAATAAAGGATCGATACTTTGTTATAATTAATAGCGATACTCAAAATTAAGCATCAATAACGTGATTGATTCCTTTGATGGTACTTATTAAGGAGGCGAAAAATTCTTTCTAAAACATTACGAGGTTTAGTTCATGATTGTCAATGGTGTCACACAAGTTCATAGATTAGCATAATATGCATTATCGCATGAATTATTGAGGCCACCTTGAAACTCAATATTAGGAGTCCATTAGATAGGTTTCTAGTTTTGCTTCTACTTCTTGTAGAATGACTTCTGGAGAAAGCTTTATTAAATTACTTTATTTTAAAAGCGCTTATAATAAAACAAAACAATTGAGAAAATTATTCAAATATGTTAAAAATAGCTTTTTAGTCTTAAAAGCAGTTTTCGACTTTTCAAACGTCACGTTAAATGGACATTAAAGTTGTTTAAGAAAGAACTTGAAAGATGAAAAAATGACTTTTCATGTTTCTTGAGGAATAAAAACAATAAGCCCTCTTTTGTCTCCTATTATTTTAAAACTCTTTTTTTTTTACATAATACATTTTCAACTACATATTCACACGATAAAATATTTTATAAGTAAGCTAAAAAAATTTCCTACTTTTTAATCACATGTTCTCCAAAAATTCACTATTCAAAACAATGTTTAAAAAAAAAAAAAATAGCTACCAAACAAAGTCTAAAGTGACCTTCAAAGTCAAGTGCAAGCACAATGAATTCGTTAGTATTTAAACCTCGATTAATATGATTTCAATTGCAATAAGGACAACGGTCTTGCTACATGTATATCAACTTTGACATTGAGTTTGGCATCAGTGTGAGATGTCAGCTTTTAATACATTGATTTTAACAACATTTTAAAAAATTAATGGCACAAATTTTGTCACATCTTTGAGTGTCAAACTTATTGTATACAATTCTAAGGACAATGTCAAGTACTACATTCCTATTCTCAAGTACATATTTCAATAAGA